TTTAAGAAATACGATTATATAAATGTGGATAAAAAAATATTATACTAATTAGTTTGTTAGAAATGTAATTTTATAAAACTTAAGATAAAATAAAATATAACTAAAAAATATGTTCATGGTCTTTTCCTTTAAATGTTTGAATTTAAAATCTAATAACCAAATTTAGATTATATCACATAAGGAAAGAATAAATAATAATGTTTATGAATATATTTAAAAATCTAATTTTGAATTTCAAATAGGGTAAATGACGGAATAATTCAATTTTGTTTTCAAAAATTTTTTTAAAGTGTTTAATATTCTGTTAAGTATACATAAGAATAATTTTACTCTTTTAATTTCAAAAATTTTGGCAAGTTTGTTAATGAGAAAAATTCAGTTAGACAGAGATTAATTAGTTAAAATATTGTATTCATTATATTTTGAAAATTCGGTTAGATAAATATAATTATATTAATTAGTTTGTTAGAATGTGATTATATGGAAGTTAAGATAAAATTAAATGTACCTAAAAATCTGCTTGTGTTGTGTTGCTCGAGGGACTCGAGTGTGTAGAGTCCACGGGTTGTGGTCAAAGAAATAGTTGGTAGGATCGAATATAGTGTTGACTAGGCTAGAAGGAGTTCTAGTTGTATAAATCCAAACTATACAAGTGCGCACACACGATCTATTAATGAAATATCTCTGAGGGGTAGTGAGACACTCAACGAAGAGTTTTTATCTCTTGTTTGTGCTTCCGCAATTATATTTTCAGGTGTTACAACACATTTTGAAAAAACTTACAGCAATTCCGTATTCTAACACAGTTTAGCGCACTCTACGTTTTTTCAAAATATGACTTGCATTCTACAAACTACAAATACTAAGAAACTAAAAATGGATCAAGAGCATTGGACATACAAATTGGAGACACGGCCCAACCCAAATATGTGTCCGTCGGGCTCGTCATCGATTGGACCAAAATCTTGCAACGCTATTGTCGGTCAGCAAATCATAATCTTGGACAAATCTATGATATTATACAAACATGTTCGGCCCTATATCAAATTAACCCATCCAGTGCCACTATTTTATTTTTATTTTTATTTTTTTTTAAGTCGCAAAAGTAAATGGAACAAATAGTGTTGATTCATTTATATATTCACTATAGAGGAAATTGCAAATTTGGTCCCGTAAGATTGGGCCAATTATAAAATTAGTCATACTCGACAAAAATTCAATCCTTAATTTTTTTTTTTCGTTGCAAAAATAGTTTCAAAGTTGTCAACAATAATGGGAGTGTCACACGCGAGTCGCGCAGTCGTTAGGTTCAAAATGAAGAAATTGCAAATTTAGTCTCATAAGATTGACTATGTTGCAAAACTTGTTATTAATTATTTTTGTTGCAACTTTTATGTCGTGAATACATAACAATCTTTGATAGTAAAAAATAATTTTGAGAAAAAAAAAATTGATTATTATACTGATATGGGATACCATACCTAAAGAAATAAATTGGTCGACTCGGCCAAGCGAACCGTCTGACCGGTGAGAACCACAGTAGGATTGATGGTGGTCGAATTTCACCAATACAGCACTAAGAGCCTTTGATCTGGAGATTTGGCATAATGGGTACATGGCAGTGACAACAGGTCGAGCTAGGGCCTCGGTTGGCCTGATAGAAACTCGACTTGTATGCTCATTTGGTCATACAATCGACCAGAACGGACAACACTTGGGCTCAGAACAATCAGGTTTACTTTAGCAGACCTCGAGTTGGGTGCACCATTAGACGGTCTAATGCGAAAGACTAAGGATAAAAGAATCTTACTGTAATTAATGTTGCACACGGGTTGATTGATCCACGCCTTATTACTTCTCTGACACTCTACGCAATGCGGGTTGTACTATCGGGCAGCAAGGGGTAACCAGCTCACACAATCCGAGCAGGCTTCTAGAAGCAGATAACCCACCCCTATAAATTGGGGTGGGATGCACGATTTTAGCTCTTACATTCACATATACTCTACACTCTTTTTTGAGGTTCATATTCTACAAGTGCTCATTTAAGCATCAGATGCTCTTCACCGGCAAACCCTCTCCGATGTGTGAGTTTTTGCATGTTCGTAGGCGATCTACTGGTGGGGAAGCTCAAGACAAGGTCAATTTTAGCTAGGCCAGGGTCTATTGCGTACCATTTACAATGTTTTCTATAAATCAAATTTTAACTAAATAATAAATGTATCTAACGAATAATTATTTAATTTAGTATAATTACAGTGGTTGATTAAAAAAATATATATAACTTCAGAGGATAATAAAATTTAAAAAACAAAAAGTTAAATTTAAGAGAATAATTATTTAATTTTATAATAATTATAGTGGTTCGTTACAAATAAAAATATAAATGTAGAGGTCATTTAATTTTATTATAATTACTGTGGTCAAAGGTTTTTGTTTTAGAAACTTATTTTCAAAATATCCTTATTTTTTAAATAAAAAATTTCTAAATAATGGTACAAAATGCCCCAAAAACTTTCTTTCACCACAATACACCATCAGTTTATGTATTGATATTAAATATTTAGTTTTCATACGAAAAAAAAAAGACCAAATGTTAGCGTACAACTTAACACGCAAAAATGTAAAAAATAAAAAATAAAATCATATATAATGGTAAAATGCCTAAAAACTTTATTTCAACACAATATACCACTATTTTATGCATATAACAATCTTTGATAGTAAAAAATGTTGGTATATGTGTCCTAGAGACAATCATTTTAAGGACATATATACATGATCACATTAATAATTATATTGGATTATAATTAGGGTATTGCAATTAATTAAATAATTGTTTGATTGTTTGCAATTTATTAATTAATTGCTCCCTTGAGTTGATACTGTCATTAGCAGAGTGAGATGTTAATTGATAAAGTATAACTCTAAAATCGCCTCAATCGATGATCATTAAGAAAGGGATATTAATGATACACGAAAGATTGACATGTGGTCTGCATCATATTCTTAGAGAATATAGTATGTCTCACTGCTATGAATAATTGTTATTCGTGATGGACATATGAATACTTTGGAGAGTATTGGCATACCCTACCGATAAACCATTTGTTTATGTGTCTATGGAAGTATCGGTGTGTGGAATGGTGTAATAGTCCTTTGACTTGAGGTCAATACGCAATTCATGTATAGAGTGATTTACTTAGACCTAGTCCAACGCTTACGCCCTTATGGGTAGACACGGGCTCGTGTTGGGTAGATCACGATATACATGGAATTGCTAGTTGAGCCAAGATGGGATTCATTCCTCGAATATAGTTTCGAGAGAACACTCGTTTTCTCTATACTGGGTTGATAAAGTCACTGACCAGTGCATATGATTATATTTGAAATGGTGTTCAAATGTAATTGATAAAATCAACCAGTATGATGAGATAAAATGATTAAGCTGTTTGGATAGACACACATTCAAGTCCTAAGCTTAATCGAGTGGGTCGTGAATGAAGGGACCGTATCACTATTTAATTCTACACTAAAGGTTTGTTTGCTTTGTCTATGTAAACGTACTTCATATTTTGAGTTCGTCCTTCGACGCAGTCTAGGAGTTTCGTAAGGATCATAAATTAGATTTATGTCAATATATGAAGGCCTATAGGGTCACACAATATGCAATCTATTTTCCAGCTAAGAGTGAATCGAGAGTGTTAAATATTCAATTAGATTGGAATATTTAATTTTAGTAATGAGATTATTTTCTATTAGATAGAAAATATATAATTAAGTTTAAATTAAACTTAGACTTAATTAAATCATTAATTGGATTAGGTCCAATTACCTATTGGGCTATAGGTTGTCCTAAAGCCCACATAATTAGGTTTAGCCTAATTATAAATAGGTGGGTATCTATTTATCAGTTGTAAGAGATCAGATAATTGAGATACACCGTAAAAACACAAACTCTCTTTGGCTTTCTGACTGAGGGTTCCTAGCGTCTTCACCAGAAGGGATTCACTGCGTTGGATCGTGCACCGGGATCTGGATTGCGTGGATACCATAGTTGAAGACAAAGCTTAAACTGTAAGTTATCGCGATCTAGGATCAAAATCGAATAGCTATAACCGGATCTTCTTGTTGGTAAGAAAATTTTAAAAATTCCGCTGCGTGTGCGATTGATTCGTACGACAAAAATCCAACAAAAAAATAGATTTAAAACGAAAAAAGTAACGACCAAATTTCGTGTACAACTTAAACGTGAAAATGTGAATATATAAAAACTCATAAAGAATAGAAAAAAATGCCCCTAAAAAAACTTCCGTTCACCTCATTACAACATCATTTTATGTATATAACAAACTTTGATAGTAAATTTAGTTCTGATACGAAAAATAAAATGACCAAAGATATAGTGAATATTAGCAAATGAAATAAATACAAAAATTAATAAAAAAAATCATAAACATGATAATAAAACCAAAAACTTTATTTCAGCATTGTTCACTACCATTTTATTTTTTAATATAATAATAATAATATAAATTTTATTTTTTAACATAATAATAATAATAATATAAATTTGAATATATTTGAATTTATATATAACGAATATATTTAAATTGATATTTTTGTTATAATAAAAAGTATATAAATATTTATTAATTATTTTAAATAATATTTAATTGACCAGTCCGATCACCATTTATGAACTGTTCATTGAATACCAATTTGTTCAAATGAACCCAACTGTTTAGTTGACCGATTCTTCATTCAATTTATAATAGTAGTGATATTATTTTTATTTTTAAACTTTATTAACCTCTATATTTATATTTTTATTTTTTTTTTATCAACCATTATAGTTATAACAAAATTAAAAAAATTATTTTTCAACTATATTTGTTATTTAAATAAATATAATTTGAAATATAGAAACATTGTATAGTGATTATTATTATTATTATTATTATTATTATTATTATTATTA